AAAAAAAGAAAAAGAAAATTACCCCACCCACCATCAAAATCAACTTTATTTGCACATGTACTCATCTTATTTTTTTTATTTGCAAGTATACCAATCCTACAATTTTTATTTGCACGTATACAAACGGTATTTATCTCCTCTTTTCTTTTCTCTTTTCCCTTCAATTATCCATATCTTCTCCTTTCTTCATTACCCATTCTTTATTTATTCGATTCTGTAAATTAGATCTCTACCGAATTAATCCTCCCATCCATCATCTTCTTCATCAAGTAACCCTCAAGTAAACTTTCATCCATGTTTAAATATTCTACAAATTGAACCCAATATACAAATTCAAAATTTTAATAAAAAAAATATATATATAAGATCTTCACTTTGCAGAGCATGATTCTGGATTTGGCAACGAAGCCCTCAATTCGACCGACAACAAGGTTCATATCTTCGGACTTTCTGCGAGTGGGGGCGAAGATGAACTGATGACCTTTGCTCTGATAATACCCAGATTTGTGCGGTGCTTGCTCTCAGTGGTTCGCACGTGGTCGGTTCTCGCTGGTCTAATCGGGTTTATGAACGGCCTAATGCTGATGCTTCCCAAGGAGGTGAAGTTGGGGATGCCGAAGGAGAGGACGAAGATCGGGCTCATTGCGATGTCGATAGTATATATTGTGTTTATATACAATATATTTTTAGTATATGTTCCCGTCGACACAATCTCACAATTTGCTTATGAGCAGATATGACTTGTTTCATTGTTTATACGAAATTGTTTCTTTGTTTATATACAGTATATTTTCAGTATATGTTCTCGTCGACACAATATTTTTTCGTATATGTTGTGGTTATAGTTACTATATTTTTAGTATATATTGCGTTTTTTTGTACATAACATGTAATAATTCAGTTATATACTTGGTTTATAATCTATAACAATTTATATAACATATAAGTATATATATAGAGTTTTTTTTTTCTTATCGAATATGCAACCACAATATAAATAATCTTATTAATTTTTAATTAGTATTAATAGATAATTTATAATAAAAATTGAAATTATTTTTATTTTTGTATATACAATATAGATGTCAAATTAAACCTCGTCGAAAGATGATTAATTCTATATATAATATATAAAAAAATTGATAACAAACAAAAAAGTTATTAAGTTTTGAAAATTGTTGGGTTTTTTTTTTTTTGTTTTATGAATAGGAGTTACCTAAAGAAAGGGAACTGAATAGGTTTTATCTGGTAACACTTTATCTCACATTAACACAAATAATACACATTGATTTCGTAGAGTTGCAAATATTTTGTCCGTAATTGTAGATCTGTAATTATTTGTAAATCACGTAGGATGTGTGTAAATTTTTCAAAAAAAAAAAATACATGGATTACCTACAAAACCTATTTATTGAGGAAATTGCACCTCATACTAACACATTTAAATTATATTACACTTTTCTATCCTTTATATATTTATTTTTAAAATTACCTAAAGAAACTACAAATATTTTCAATTATACCTACAATTCAAATTTTAGTAACTTCCTTTAATTAAGGGAAAAATATCACACGCGAATTTTATTCTGCTCCAACATATTCTTAGATCTCCAGCAAACAACAGCAAGAAATATCACACGGGCTCTGGAAACACAACGCTAACAACACGGCCGGCCCTAAACCCAAGCGGACGAAAGTCTCAATATTATCATCGAAGTCGAGCTTTTCTAACCGGGGAGGAGATTGAGATCGAGATTGCCGAGGTTTTATACGGCTTGATGATCCAGTCCACAAGGCCCACCTTCATCAAATAAAGAGGAACCAAGAGAAGTAAATCAGTTGAGCATCGATGCAAAGTCGCGAAATTCATCTCCGATCTCTAATTCTACTTTGAATAAAAATAATAACCATATTATTAATCTCCCTCCTGGACCCAATCCGGTTCTCTTTGCCTCTTTTTTTCTTTCCTTTTTTTTTTTCTTGTTTGATTTGATTTTGCTTTTAATAATATCAACTTTGAGCTTTTGTGGGTGTTTAAGAAGTTGTAACTTTTGCACATATGCGTTGAAGATATATATAATTCGAAGGTATATTTACAAACCGAGTTGGGTATATGTTGGGTATATCCGAGTATATCCGAAGTAACTTTTCTCTGGTTATCTGTTTAATAATTCCTTTTTTTCTTGGGTTATATGTTGGGTATATCCGAGTATATCCGAAGTAACTTTTCTCTGTTATCTAGTTATCTAGTGGGTATATCCGAGGTAACTTTTCTCTCTATCTGAAGTATCTTTTCTCTTTCTATGCTATACACTTTGTCACTGACTTTCTGCACCTGTTACACATTTTTAGTATATTTGAAGTATATTTTTGGTGTATGTTAGTATATTTCTGCACCTGCGTGAATTATAATATTGCAACATACACTGAATATTTACTAACATAAACTCAAAATATACTACATGGCGGCTGCTTGAATTACAAGGTACAAGTTGCGTGAATTAAGGAAGTAATAAATGAATCAGTTATTATTTTTCTTTTCTCTCTCTTAATCAAGTCCACAAAAAGGGAGATGGAAGTTAAATATATATGGTAATTGCTATTGATGCAATCTCATAAATAAATTAACTTCATTAGATATAATTGAAAATATTTTCATCTGAAGGTAAATTTGAAAATATTTGTATACCTTATAAGAGGACTAAAAATTTTCCCTATTTATTTGTAGGGGTGGGACCGGTCTGTCTCTCCAAGAACCAGAACCATTTTTTCAAAGACATTTTCACATTTTTTCAAAATATTTTCGGTCCGGTTAGCGTGACTAAATTTTAAGGAACCGTTTGAGAATCGAAACGCGTATAACCCGTTCGGTCCATCTGTTATTTAATAAATGGATTGTAACTTTTTTAAGAAAGAAACTTTAAAAACCAAAATAATAAATACAGTAGAACTGACTGAAGCTTTAAAAACTAATATAATGTAACCAAAACAAATTAAAAAAAAAAAAAAATACATTCACACTCAAACATATCAAAAATATTCTCAAATTCACATACCTACCAAACTTCGTCATGACCTCTTATGTTTGTGGGTTCATTAATTTTTACGAACCTTGCTACAATATATGTTCGACTACAACGGGAAACCTATGAACTGAAGATGATATTTTCGATTTGTACAGTTTTAACTATAAAATATAAAACAAAATTACACTGAAAGCGGAAAGACAAGTCGAGGCGAGGTTGCTCTTTCCGCAAGACGAATGTGCCCCGTAATATGCTGATGGGTTCAGACGTTAAGTCCCCAAAGATACACGTCTGACGTCTCGAAGGCTGTAGCACAACAACTTTCGAGCTCTAACGAACTTGAGTGGAGTCGAGAACTGAGCAGTATGATATGCGTGAGACTGAAAAAGTGCAATACTACAAATGATAATTTTGTGTGTTCTACAGCTTTATACCATGTCCGATTTATAGGACTTTAAGTTCATAAGGTGATGACTCTTCATCTTGGAACAACCCACTTATGGTTGTTGTAACTGGGCAGTTTCTCATGTGTTAACTCACCACCTGGTAACCACTGGAACAGTCAGGTGGTGGACAGGTAGAAAGTCCTACGTTCAAGTTCAATGTACTTGGGATGTATCACACAAGTTGGGTCAAAACCCGAGTTTAAATCCAACTCGGCTTGAATTTTATTTTAGCCTTCATAATTACAAATAAATCTACACCAAAAAGATATATATTGGTTGGGGCAATGCCCCAATCCAAGACTGTTCAAAGCCGTCTAAGTCCAGCCCACGGTTCAATTGCCAAGGATTAGTTCATTAATATCTATAAACGAGCGTAAAGCTGTCGGGGCTCAGTAATCAGACGCTCAAACTGCGACTCCAAATTATCCCTATACTATACTCGGCCTATATTGTTGCTACATTATGGCAATCTTATCTTACCCACGATTTAGTACACGAAATATATCCTCATCTGAATCTCTATTAACCTCCAATAATGGCGGAGGGCTCAACTTTCTCGCCGAATGACGCGGTCCAAAGAATACCATTTCTCCTAACTGACAATTTAAGCTCCCTAACAAATGCTCTCTATAAATTTATTGCCCAACTCCCCCAACAAACACCACAACAGACGATCAGATTCATCTTGCATGCAATTCGTTCATGATCGGTCGCGCCCTCTGCCACCCAACACCCCTCCTGCGTAGCCTCCCTTGTTGGGATCAATGAAGAGCTCGTTATGCACAAATAACGAATTCAATAGCAAAACGTAAACCTATGCGCAGTGGATCTAAAGGTTTGCGTAGAGAACTTACGGCTTAAAATTTATGGCGATCTGGATGATCTTCTGGATGGACGTACATAGCACACTAATAAAAAATAGACTGCAAATTGCGTCCTAGGGTTGCACGAACAAGATCGGATCGAAAACCGGATCAAACGGGTGCAAAAACGGAAGAAGACAAGTTGCAGTCCTGGGACACTCCGGCGGCGTGTGAGGGCGCGTGCGACGTCGTACGGCGGCGATCTCGGTGGAGTTGGAAAGGTCTCGTCGAGACGGTCATCTGGGTATGCTGCTCGTCTTGATCGGACCTCCGGTTAGTTCTGTACTACCAAATATATTTCGTCTCATTTTATTCAAAGGTCTTCTACTGTATATCTCAAACCTCTTAATCTTGTACCAGTGGAACAACAAGAAGAAGATAAAGCTCGAATGGGAACTGAGAGAGAATAGATGCATGGGGCGTGATTTCCTATATTTGGAATTCTCTTATCTTCCCATGAGCTTAATGATCTATATATAAAGCTACAGTAAGGATCCGTAGGAGATTAGGATTAGGGCTCCTTAATTAATTAAAATACTTGTGGACCAAGCCACTTATTTTAATTAATTAAATAGTATAAATGGGCCACCAACATAATATTAATGTACTCCATTTTTCTAGCCTAATTTACAATTGAGAGTCCAATAATAATTACTCGATTTATCTCCTCATGTTTAAGATATAATGTCCATTAATTAATTCGATTACTGACAATCAATAATTAATTAATCTATTATTATTTAACCGAAGCTAGCGCTCGTTCATCACATTATTACTATGCAAGAATTTAATCCACCTGTAGGGTTTAGCATAATAATCCTTCATAAGCTCACTCCGGAGACATCATCTGATGCTGCAAAGGAAGTTGTTTGGATAAGGAACTTCATTCAAGGGTTGGGTGTAGTACCATCTGTTGTTGATCCAATAATGAATTATTGTGATAACAATGGGGCTATTGCGCAAGCAAAGAAGCCAAGATCTCATCAAAGATCCAAGCACATAATGAGGCGATACCATTTGATTAGAGAAATCATTGTAGAGGCGACGTCGTGATGGAGCGAGTCGACTCAGCAGAAAATATTGCAGACCCCTTAACTAAGCCCTTATCACATAAAGTGTTCGAAGGACATCTTGAGAAGATGGGTCTTAAATACATGAGTGATTGGAACTAGGGCAAGTGGGAGATTGTTAGAGTAGGATACCCGGCGTTCCAATCGGATTGAACGTATTCTACTTGTAAATACTATCTATTGGAATTATATTGTAAATAAGGCATTACTTTATCTTAAGAGTACGTTTTTATCCTATAATCGCACTTAAGATAAAAATCCCTAAATCACTTATGGTTATAAGGTATGGTTGCGCAAAGAGATGGTGATCATGGAACATACCTTGAAAGCTGTGATTTTAAATAAAGTTCCAAGTCGAAGGATGTTTCGAAATGGGATATTGAATAATCCATAAAAGACTTGCACATAGCATGTATGCTTGTTGGACAAGAATGTTGCATTCCATCAACATTAGCGTGCGACGCAAATACATATATGTGGGTGCTTGTTAGAGAACAAGTACACTGAACATGACCGTATGAAAATACTTAATGAAAGATTTGTCTTGTCGAATAAGTATTTTCATGTTACAATAGTACATGACTAATCCTAAGACTTGAGGCACAATGGTAACTTTGTGCATATTACATTCTTCTTTGATTTATCCTTTTGGTTGCTAGCACAATCGTATAAAGGGATATTTTGTGTATTATGTTAATATGTATGGAAGTTTGTTAGTGGCCTACAAAGGATTCGACACTTATGAAGATAAGTGAATTTCCTATGTGTTTCATAGTTAGTAATTCAAAGTCCTTGGCCAAGGCGGGATGAATAGAGATTCATACACGGATTACTAAATATGAAATAGAATCATAGTTATTAAATCAATTTGGGTTTCGACTAAATCATACCCAAGATTTAATCGGGAAATTGGATGTCGAAAGGATTCTACATGTATGTACTTGTAATCGAAATAGGTTTACTCGCTATTCACTTAATACTAGATTCATGCTACTTGCTAGGTGTTCCCATGATATGTGGGTTCTTGAATTAAAGGGGTTAATTCAAGAATAAGAGTTAATAAGATTAACTCAAATTACAAAGAGTTGTAAACCCACTATTAGTATTAATTGTGAACCTAAAAGGTCACATCAATGTTTGTATAAAGACAAATATTAGTATTTCTAAAGAGTTAGAATTAATTGACAAAATATAATTTTGATTAGATGTCAATTAAAGAAATATATTAAATTAATCAATTGGATTGATTAATATTAATTTAGTGACTAATGTAATTACTAAATTAATAGTTAGATTTTAAAATTGGATTTGAAAATTCAAATCCATATAATAATATGATTATTATATGAAAGGAGAATATTAAATATAATATATATGTTTACAAATGATTTTAAAAGAGTTTAAAATTATTTGTTTATTATTATTATTGATTTTTAATGTTGATTAAAAATTAAATAATAATAATAATAATATAATAATGACAAGATGGAGTCTTGCAATTAATATATTATTGTATTAACTTGTAGAAATGAGAAAAAGATTTTTTAATTTTGCTTGTCAAAATTATTAAAGACTTTTGTAACATTTCTTGTAAAAGTTATACAAGTCATATATATTTTATTGCTAAAAAGTTTAGTATAAATATGGGCATGGTTGATGTTCATTTTTGCAAGAATTTGTGTTAACATTTTCACTTATAATTTGAGAGATAAAGAGTTAGTATTTCATTTTTGTAAACAAGAATTGTTCTTGTAATATTCTCCTATTTATATATTTCTATACTAAGTTATAAATCGAGTGAGTTCCTACTAGCGAAGGAGTCATCTCGTAGTCGGAAGCAAACAGTGGATACGTTTAGAGGGAAGACAAGTGGATTCCTAAAAGCGAGCAAACCGAAGTGTTCGTTATTAATACGTGAACCAATTTCCTCAACCACCGTGAAGAAGAAGGAGTTAGAGTTATAAGGTAATATTTGATATTACTTGTAATTTCTAATATTACTTGTAACACATCAAAATTTGTATTATTACATGTTTTTAAAGATGACGATTTGTTAATTCGCCATATGTATATACGGGTTAAGTATTTAAGTGTTAAATACTTGTTTTGAAAAATTTTAAATTCCGCTGCGTATAGCCTGTACGGTACAGGCGAACCCAACAGTGACGGGCTCCATCTCAGGCGATCAGGTTATAAGAATCACCATCCGAAGTTTTTAGGGGTCCAACTAGCTAGAACTAGAGTTATTTGGTTGGTCACTATCAAATTGGCATCGTCTATGGTAACAGTCCAATTATACCAAGCTTGAGATAGTATTGCATCTTTCCACAAATCTACATCATATCTTTATCTACATCACTGCGGAATAAGAACCAACACAAGGAGAAAGAGGTGGTGACGATAGATGGTTGCAGACATGACGTTGGAGGTTAGGGCCACCCTTGTGGTGGCTCGCCAACAAAAAGTAGCCAAGAACTCCCATCACCGAGAGTCCGAGATCCAGAGCTTCCAGGGGATTCAGTCGGGGCCCTTGCTGGAGCTAGAAAACCCACCCCATCATGGCATCGGGTCACCCTTGCAATTGAAGGTCGCCGAAGACAATGGAAGAACCCAATAAAATCCCCCCCACAGCTTAAAACGCCTGACCTAAGGCCACTGAGGAGCTCCTTATCCATGCCACTCGTGGTGAGCTAGAAAAGATGATTGTTGAAGCAGTAGCTGCACGTACTCAGCTAGCGCAAGTAGCACCGGAGGCCACAGTGCGACATGCGAAGCAACACAGTATTTTGAGTCGAGAAAAGGTCGAACCAGAGAGCTCAATAAACTCATTAACACCCTCTCCAAATCGACGAGACCCTGCACAAGAGCATAAAATGATTTAAAATATAGTTGTTAGTGAAATTTTAAAATTGTATTAAAATAATATTTAAAATAAAATAATTAAAATTGATTTGATGTAAAAGTAAGAGATAAATTATTGGAAATGATAGATATTTAAAATTATGTGAGTGGATGAATAGTAAATTAAAGTTGATGTGATGTGTAAAAATAATTGGGTTGTATTATTTAATTATATAAATAATATTAAAGATAGTGAGGTTGAGTTAAAGTTGAGTTAGATTTTAAGTATGAAATAAAGGTGCGTAAAATAATTCATAAACAATCAAGCCCTTAATATTTTACCAACTAATTAATTGATCAAAATAATTTAAAATTGTAAAAAATACATCATTGTAATCAATACAGTGATACAAATGAAAGTTAAATATTTTATGTTCATATCATTTTTCTTAAAATAATAAAATTTGTAAATTATGATTTTAGATATTATATACACATAGGCTATTAATTATAATATTTTGTTTGATTGATCGGTGATTTTATTTTTTTGGTTAAATAAATGCCTAATTTATTAACATAGTTGCCTGTGGTAATACCTCCTTCGCTCCTTGTCATTAACTGCAATAGTCCGTAACAGTTAATTTTTTTCTTGCTTTTTTTTTTCTTTTTTTTTTGGTACCAACCTTTGCCCTTTCTTGTTCCACAAGAAATATTCGCTCATATCAATTTCACAAAGTCAAACGCGCTGACCACAATTTATACACACCACAATTTACTGTTGACCAAAGTCAAAGGCGCTGATCATCCACAAACCCTCTTTGGACGAACTACCTCCACATAACCACAATCGGAACCCACAGAACCCGTTCATGTCCATTTTCGTAATTTCACAGTCTCTCGAATTCGCCATTAGCCATCGATGCCAACTCAGCAAAGGGCAAAATTGGAAAATACATCGCCACCCATGCACCGCCTTCTCCCCCAAGTTTTTGGGTATAAAACCCAACCCCCAAATGCTTGGCCTTGTCTCGTAACAGCCCTTTAAACCCTTCCCCAAGTTTTCTCTCTCCAAGTTTTTTTCAGATTAACGCCGATCTTATCATTTCATAAACATTTTTTCTTCGTGATCTCGTCGTGAATAGAATCGAAGAAGATGATGAGCCGTAGCGCGAGGAGGGTGGCGCGGTCGGTTATG